GAGCGGCTTCAGAGATTATAGAATTTTTATACCGTAATCATTGAATAATTTAGAATGATTATATTATATTGCTACTTGAATAATATCGCTACGTGAATAAACAAGCCGTCTAATGATTTTTATTCGAGACTTGTAACGGTATGAACCTGCTATGGTTGCTAGCTACACGCACCATTTGTCAGCATTGTAACGTTCCAGACCTGCCGTGACTGCAGCACTTGTCATTTGTCAGCATTGTGACGTTCCAGACCTGCCATGAATGCAGTACTTGTCATTTGTCAGCATTGTAACGTTCCAGACCTAGCACTTGTCATTTGTCAGCATTGTGACGTTCCAGACCTGCCATGAATGTAGCACTTGTCATTTGTCAGCATTGTAACGTTCCAGACCTGCCATGAATGCAGCACTTGTCATTTGTCAGCATTGTGACGTTATCCGTCATCTGTCGGCAGCCACAATCCACATGCTTCAATTTATTTCATTGGTAATTTCCCATCTATGGACCCTCTCGCTCCCCCAACACCGGCTCCCCCAAACATCATTTCATCTAATGTCAGTTCGCTAATTATGTTTGATCAATAAATTACCAACGAACAACCTTTGCGTGCGCTGCCTGATATTGGAGCTCCCGTAATCTCAAGAACCTTTACTTAAAGGCCACTGCCACTCAACCCAATGAACTTCAATGAGTTACTCAAATAAAAATGATGAGCTTCTGTTCAAGACCGTTTGAAAAATTGTGTCGACTATGATGAAGACTGCCTTAAAATTCAACCTCCGCCTCGAACTCCATCACTATACAAACATCATCGTCCGTGATGTTTTACAAGTGAACGTTATAGCCATGGTGTATTTTTGTATTAATTCAACCATGGTTATAGCTAACTATACATGACGCTGTTATAATGCTATATTCTGCACATTTATACACGAACAAACTGGCTCGCTACAGTATATTGTGTCTTATTATGTGTTAATGATATCTCGATCTGACTTTTTATCGTTTCATTGAAGTGCTATATGTTATATATAAGGTCAATCTAACATATTCTTATATCTTACATTTCATAATTGAAGTTACATTCCTGAACAATTCTTTTGCCACATATGCTGAACCATTGAACTTTAATAGAGAATTAAATGTATAAATCGTGTTCCGTCGTCCATGCATTAACAATTCTTGTTACAATTTCATAAATATTTTCATACAGCAAGGGTCAATTAATTTTAAAAAATAACTTGCGAGTGGATGAGATTATACATATTTTCAAGGCTTCATCTGATGCCATGTTACGCGTGAACAATCCATCTCTATTTGACGTCAATATTCGAGAACAGGATTGATGTGTGAAACATGGATACTAAGTTGAATTAAAATTTAAAAACATACAAGTTTTTAAACCGTAATTTTATATTAATTATTCAAAAATAATATCATTAATATTATTTGATTTTGTAATATATGTATTAAAACATATATTAAACCTTAATTTGGTCTTGCATTAAAAGATACTTAAGTGGATTAATAAATCCGAACGAATCTAATCCTCATGTCTGAACTTCACACTGTAAGATGAGAATGTAAAAATACTAAGAATGCTATAATGAAAAACTCATTCTTAATTAAGGAACGCTATACTAATGACAATTTGTTCACTAATTGGCAGAGTGAAAAAGGCGCTATAGTGTTTAAGTCTACGGATTTTAGAGTGAATGCTTTATTTACATCTAATTTCCTTCATTTTTCCGTCACATTTCATACTTTAGTAGAGGTCGATATAGGGACAAAATATCATGAGCTACCGTGTACAAAATCAATCAGGCTCTAAATTGGGCAAAACTACACTTCGTGTTCCTTGCAAAATGTTAGAGAAAAATTAATTTCAAATTATTGCAGTGAAGGTGCACGAAACATGGACCATATAAAAATAATGTTATTACTTTTCTTTGCATAATTTAATGCCGAACAAAAAGCTAAAAAAAACAGAGACTAAATTACTTATAATCTGGGAGCAATGCAACTTGATTATGTCGAAGGTTTGCTGTGCTCTTTACCATGACTGGCTGAGTTGGCCGGCAATGTCTCAGCAATGTCCACTTCAGATTAATTCCTTTGAAAGCTTTGCCGGGAATTGAAGAGGAATTTCCCTGTCGGCAATCGCCCTATGGAGTCGCATTGACGTGCCGTGACTGTTCTTCAGTGTGCGTCAGTTACGTTCACAATCTCTTCAGTAAAGTCTTTCCATTGCGTTGCGTAGTTCTCACGCAAACCACTTAAGAAAAATGCTTAAAATTGCCGCAATCTGTTGTGTGTTATCTCTTCACGATTTTCCCATGAACAAGTAGTTAGGTGCTCGAAGTAACGTTACAATTTTAACGTGTTATTTGGTGGCGGCAGCTGGCGCGAACAAAAAATATGTGAATGGCCGATGCCGTGATTGTGGGGCCCATCTTAATTGAGTTATGTCTTGTATTTTGCGCGCACTTTTATTTGACTTTCGGCTAAAGAAAACATCGCTGGTTTTAATTGATTGCCAACACACGCACCACCTCGCGCTGACCGTCAGCTGACCTGTCGCGCGCCCTCGGTCTTAAAGCTGAATTATTGTTCCGTCCAATTTGGATCATCGCTTGCTAGGAAAATTTCTGTTTTCGATTAATTCTAGTAATATTGGTAAATATCTGCTTTTTTATTTCAGTTTCTGAGGCTCTTTTGGAGAAGTTAACAATAATTATTGCCCACTTGACTCCATTCTAGAGAGCAATCATGAGTCTGATTGGAGTCTGTATCGTCTCCAGACAATCGTTGGCCATAAATAAATTCGAACATCATGTCAAAGAAAAAATATCCCCATTTTATATTTGGACGCGCTCGGTCTCGAGCTTCTGAGGCGGAAATTACTTTGGTATGAGCATTTTGTCATGGTTGATTTCCGCTTCCAATAACAAAAAAGAAATATTGAAGCTTACACTGTCTCAAATTACAGGATAAGAACTTCAGGTTCTGTGCTGCAATAAGGATTCCAAGTCCCGGCAAGAAATTGTTGAAGTGCTGAGCAGTTAAGGTCGCGTGTACAAACCCAGCTACTTGATACGACGCTAAACGGAAATTGTCTTCTGCTGGTTTATTGTCAAGAAGAAATTTTTGAGATTTTCTTCTTTATTTGCAACGCATCACGTGAATTAATTCGCCGATTTGATGATGATCATTTAGAAGCTCGTAGAAAGCAACCGAAAGGAAAGATAATATATTCACGTTTATTTTTTTGAAGCTAAAAAGCTAAGAAGCAGAAAATATTACACCAAACATAAGTTAAACATTGGATTGAAGAACTAATGCGAGCAGAGCATAGGAATAAAGTCATTATGAAATAAGGAACGACAACAAACTTATCTGTGCAACATAATAAAGTTAAATGAAAAATAATTTCAAATGGAAAATAAGATAATCACAACTAAAAAAGCATATATAAGCAAAATAACCATGTATTTAGACTAAGACAATAATAAAAATAAGACAATCATAATTAGGAATCAAAAGTAGATGCTCAATAATTTAGACTAAACGCTAGCACAAAAACTGTCTTAGTATGGCCAATTCAAGAAATTCATAATTTGTTTCTCTGTACAATAATTTCTTTGTGCGAAATCTAGATCACGCATAAAGTATCGCCATTTCACTATATGAAGTAAGAGAGAGAAATGTATGATAAATGTGGTAACACCTGAAATCGTAAATATATAGGCCTAGTAAGCCATAGGATTACAAGGCTCCTAAGTCCAAGTTCTGTCCCAGCCTGCCGCCTCGCTCCCAGCGCCGGCCCGCAAATCGTTCCAAACATCGCATGACAATTGCTAAAGTTTGAGCCTCCAGCGCTGATTTTGCCCTCCAATATCGATAATGTACGTCCCTGGAACAACAGAATCTAAAATGATATGAAACGCGGCGGTGGAGGCTTCCGGGGGAAACGTGACGAAGTTTCGAAAAGCTGAAGGATGGCAAACATGAGTCAATTTTGAGACGAGACCCACAATTTCCAGCACGTGAATAACCTTCTCTAGTGACCGCATAACCTGGAGTGTTGGTAATCACTCCTAGAAATACGTGAATCACGCCTCTAATAGTTATAGGTTATGTTATCTTGAAAATACGTGTAGGTGCCTTGAATTTGTTTTTTTTTAGCGTTGTCTTACAAGTATCTTTACCTACTTCTAATTGCTGTAATGGCTTTGTCTTAGAAAATCCGTGTAGGTGTCTCGAATTGTTATGAGTGACATCCTCTTGGAAATACGAGTAAGTGTGTCGACATGTTGTAAAGGCCGTTTTCATGTAAATGCTGCAAATTGTTGAAAGTGACGTTCTATTGTAAATACGTAGAAGTGTGTCGAATTGTTGGGATGTTTTCTTGTAAATAATTATGTACGTGCATTGAACTGACGGATTGAGTTTATAAGGGTCTTGAATCATATGATTTCGAAATCATCTCAGCCAAACTCTTTCAGTGACCAAATTTGTTGCCCAGCGTTAAAAATGAACGTCATGTTATCTTTGTGTAAAAACGTCAGGTCTTTGTTGGTACTATAAAATTTTAATTTCTCGCTAAAAATCTTATTTATTCATTCATCTTAACAATGCAGCATATTCAATAAATGCCTTAGAACAAACAGTTGCTGGATAAAAAATGCGGTTTCGTGATTTTTTACCCAAACCAAGGAAAATAGTTTTGTGTTTATCTGGAAAAGATACAATGCAATGAAAATGTGATGACGATGCTATGACAATGCAAGATACAATGAAATGAAAGTAGTTTTGTGTTTCTCTAAAGGAGATACAATGCAATGTTTATGTCATACAGAGACATAAACATGATTAAATTATTATACTTGAACAGAATAATCCTAGACAAAAACATCTACTCCAAAAGTTGAAGAGTTCATCCAGATAGTAAATTAAGTTTGCAAGCCATTAATACCAAACTTTGTCTTCTGCTTGGCATCACATGACGCGGTTTGCGTGCGGCGCTGCAGAGCTGCTGCGCACTGGGCCGCGTAAGGTGAACGGCGTCGAGAAAGGCGAGCCTGACTTCGGGGGTCCCATCACTAATGTGACCGTAGCGCTGGGGCGGGAGGCTAAACTGTCCTGTGTCGTCGACAACCTCGCCTCCTATAAGGTAATATGTTCTCATTGAATATATGGCAATCATTTTTATTATAATTAAATACAATCAAGGAGTTTGACTCGTTATCAGAGCATATTTGCTTATCTTACCCTCTCTTAAACTACTCCATTCACAGCCTACAACTCCCTTTAAAAATAACCGTGCAAAACAATTACTCATAGGTATAAATTTTGCACACATTAAAAATAAAAAATACATTAATAAATTTTTGCTTTTTTAATTAATGTATTTTACAACATCGCCCATTCAGAAAAAAAATCCTTGTTGCTTCTGCCATCTCCAAAGTGAGCTATTTTATTTTATTGCTACTAATAACTCCAATTTCATTTATTATATGCTAAGTATGCTATTAGAGGGAACAGATTTCTCTAAATTTTTGTCCCATCGTGCAATAAGATCATCCTTCTCTCGGAAAATCTTTCGCATCAACTGAAGACAATTCCCATTGAAGGTATGCTGGCACAGAATAAAAACGTTCAAATTCATGCTTTTTCAGAATATTAAGATCCCCAATTAAGATCCCCAGCAGGTATTTAAATTTCATCAACGTTCCTCGGTAATCGAAAATTTGACTCACTTACGTGACCACTAACTTTCCCTGCGGAAAGGCGACAGGTTTTCCCTTTCCTAACGGAAGGCTAAGCTAGAAATAAAATGTCGTCGCAGTTACTCATTGTGGACGGAGCTCTGTAGCTGACAAGGTAAACTTCCAGAATAGCCTACGCTTAATCCAAACCCACATCCCAAGATCGAATTCTTTTCTTCTATTGCCAGAAAAAGTTAAAAAAATTCTATTTTAGTGAGTTCTGTTTACACTGGAGACCAACACAAACCTGGTGTCAGCTGCATACCGTCCATTCAAAATGAACTAAAATATGTCCTACTTTAGCAGAGGGAAAAAAGCTCTTTCAATGAAAGATTGAAAGACCCCTACTGACAGATATTACTTAGAGAAAAAATTCTTGAATTTCTTTCAGCAGTTAATCATAAATATTTTTTGTTCTCTCTCTTCTTTTCATTTCATCAATTTTTCGTATAGAGTACAAACACGTTCACGACCTAAGGGAAAAAGTTTCATCATTTGAATGAAGTAAATATATAATAGAAGAAGAATTTTTCTATTGTCTCAAGAATGTTCTAGGTTTGGATTAAATTCAAAAATATTAAATTTGTTTTAAAAATCAAATCGCTTCAATGCGCTGGCAAATTTTTGTTTATTTACAAGCATAAACACTGGGGGCCACATACTACGCTGGAAATTATGTCCAGCATTTTAGGAACTTTATTTGAATTCCAACCAAACTTTTTAATCATGGGGAAAAAACTCAGTATTGAGGTTGTTGGAGCTAATTTCGCCGTGCAATAATCAGAAGTAATGAAGTCGCAGAAGTCTCGAGGAAATTCATCAGTGGGTGGCAAATGGCAATCATGAGGCCGTGCGTTATACCTCCACTCGAGCATCTCGTTCATCTCCACACTTGGCATTCATTAAGAGCTCTTCACTAAATGATCTCCCCGGCTCATAGAGACCAAGAAGACTGCCTCAAGCATCAATATAAGAAGCAACTTGCCGTATAATTAGTCGGTCTACAGCCGCTAATTGAACGAATCCTTATTCATGGAAAAATGTCCCCTATTTGTCTTTTTCTTCACGCGCCTTGGTCTAATAATCCAATTTTGTTCGTTAGTAATGTTTGAATGGATATGAAGTTTTCATGTGGCCCAAATAAAAACTTTAATGACCCTTGAGGGTTGGTATATCCTCGAATTGTACCATGCTCAATGTAACATGAATTTCACAGAACTGAAATCTAATTAATTAATAAATAATTTTTTGTAAGCTGAAGTCATATTTTCTTATCATAGTTAAATTCCTCAACATTTGCTATTATGTATTACCTTTTTCCCCACATATCAAGAAAAAAGGATTTACGAGAGTCAAAATTTTAAACCTTAGAAAAGTTCAAACGGGCATCCGCGCGAACAAAAGTGTGAAAACTTTTTTTTAAACTTTTTTTAGCATTCTAGTATTTTTTTTACAGGATAACTATCGAATTCAGGCTTTACACATGTGATATAATTGCTCCAATTCATAATAAAAATACTGGACAGAAGAGAAATTATGTGATTTAAATAGATAGTCTTTTTGATATAAATCAGCATGCGTAACACCGTACTAAATCTTATAGAATCATCAGCACTCAAATAAGCAGGCCAGAACATTAGAGTTGGCCACACGGCTTCATCACTCATCACATTACATACACGGGACATAAGATTAGTATTTGTCCTACGAATTCGCCACTCAGCAGTGAGAATGTGGCGAGTGCTAACCCCTCGTGTTGGTTATGGACAGGTTGGCTGGATGCGCGCCGACACGCAGACCATCCTGAGCCTGCACAACGCAGTCGTGACGCACAACACGCGCATCAGCGTCACGCACGAGGAGCCGCACACATGGAACCTTCACATACGCCAGGTATACGCCGCTCATCTCTACCCCTGTCAACGTAAATAATAATAATACTTTTACACACGTATAGCTTATGTTAAGATTAAAACAGCGTTTTAATATTCAAGTGTATCATATTTCCGTACATGAAACATTATAATAAAAACTAGGAATACGATTAAAACAAAGATGGAAGAATGCAGCTTCATTCTCTTTGGTTCTATAATCTAAAAATCGTACTGAATTCAATCGAATGTCTTTTCAACTTATCTTCATTGGACACAATTAAACAGCATAAATTTACTTGCAATTTATCATAGGGTCACTAAACTAACTAACTTGCAATTTATCGTCGCGTGGTCACACATCAGGTGAAGGAGAGCGACCGCGGCTGCTACATGTGCCAGATCAACACGGCGACCATGAAGAAAAACCTCGGCTGCATCGACGTTCATGGTGAGCCCGGCAGAAAATCAAACGAGTTCTGCGAGATCGTTGCAGTGATAACTGGATTTATATTTAACTTTTGTTCACGCTCATGGTGAGTAGGAATGGAGTAAATAACTATTAATAAATACCTCGTAACGAATACTTGACGTGAAAATATTGCGCCAAAAGTTCATAACCAATTATGGTTGAGACAATATAAAAGGAATCTTTCCCCCACCACGCAGTGCCACCGAACATCGTGGACGAGGAGAGCAGCGGGGACGTGACGGTGGTGGACGGGGGCAGCGTGACGCTGGTGTGCTCAGCGCGGGGGTATCCCGCCCCCAGGATCACCTGGAGGAGGGAGGACGGGGAGCAAATCGTCCTCAGACGAGGCAAGAAGGACAGGGTCAAAGGTAAACAGGGAAGCCGGGACCCAATGCCATGGAATGCAATAAATTTGCTAACAATATGACTGTAGTTCAGGTGATGGAATATGCAAACAATTAAGGTGATAAATTAATTTATATACTGAATTTATAGTCTTGGTCAAGACAATGAAGTCACGATCTTAATCTATCTGATTCACGATAATAACATAATTAAAGTATGTAGATCTCCTGGTCTATGACAGAATAGAGAGCAAGGGTTATCAGCATGGCAGGACTTCTTGCCGTTCCAAAAAGTTCTTTGACACAAATTAGCAAAACAAACGGCCAATCAAGCACTGCGTATAGCAGTTAAAGTATCCATCACTGCTGAATAGCTGAATAGCCGGGTTCCAAGTAATTAGTTTTTGTCAGGATTTTTGTAGGGTTGTAATGCATGCATGCGCTTATAGTGCATGCATTTGGATTGAATGTGTTTCGATGTCATCGATGCGCTGTGTGGTCCGGACGTTAGGTCTCAGGTTGATCGGGTTAAATCTTCGCAAAATAGACCTGACCATCCCAACTTTTTCCGTGTCTCACTGACGCCAAATTGGCATGCTGGCGGTTGCTCAATCGTTCTGAGCTCAATAATAGAAATGGGTTAATTTTTTATAGTTTACAAGATAAGTGGCGCACATGTAAGAGACACATGTATGTAGGATTGTTCCAGTGACCTCTCAAAATCGGAATCACTTACCGAGTAAACTCAAACACAACACACTGTACATTGGCCGGCCCGCTGTCTTGCGATAAGAAAGGCGTTCTTGCCTTGGCTGAGCGAACGAACGCCTTTCTCAAAGCTTGTGGGAAGCTACGAAGCTTGATCTTCTGCTCAGAAAATTCAATTATGGCCGATTCCAATAATTTTTTGATTAATATACTAATTTCTATTACTATTCAATTTCTCAGAGTATTTAGATATTAACTACATTCAAATTTTGCTATTTATGCACAAGTATATAGAGCTATGAAAGAAATAAATTAAATTATCATAGATAAAATGGAGCAAGGAATAATCGTTGTTTTAGCCACACGTTAACTACCAGGATAGGTTAGTCCCCCTCATTAATGGTGTTGTGACGTCACTGTGTCACGGGTTCCTCAGTACCCATCGTCGACGGACCTTCACTGAATCTGACGCGCGTCAACCGTCGTCAGATGGGCGCCTATCAGTGCATCGCCAACAACGACGTGCCGCCCGCTGTCGTCAAGAGGATCGTCGTCAACGTCGAGTGTAAGTCGTGAATGACGAGGGTAAGTCGTGAACGTCGAGTGTAAGTCGTGAATGACGAGGGTAAGTCGTCAACGTCAAGTGTAAGTCGTGAATGACGAGGGTAACTCGTCAATGTCGAGTGTAAGTCGTGAATGACGAAAGAAAGTCAACAACGTCGAGTGTAAGTCGTGAATGACGAGGGTAAGTCCATCTGTGATCTTCATCAGCACTCTTGTATCGTCCGCAAATGACGATGTAGATGCGTGGGTGAGTTCTGAGTCAATATCGGCAATGTGGATGAGGAAGAGGATCGGTCCAAGCACTGAGCCCTGCGGAACTCCGCTTTTCACCTTCGCTTCTCTCGATTTCGAGTTTCGATTTCTTGACTCGATTTCGAGTCAAGTTTAAGTCGTCAACGCCAACTGTGAGTCGCCGAGTGTAGGTCATTGACTTTGAGTGCAAGTCGTAAACGTCTAATGTTCGTGGCAATGATGACAGTTGGTCGTAAATTTAACGTTTAAGTCGTCAATGTTAATTGTGTGATTAGTAAACGTTAATCGCAAGGAGCCAATCTCGTTACAGTTGTAAAGGTCGAGGGCGAGCCATTTATGCCAATTCTTTGTGAAAAAAACAATACGATGACGCACGAATTCGTTAACGTCAATTAAAAGCCGTATACACTTAGTATAAGTCTTAGTCCAGCTGACTCATTTCTGGTGTGCGGCGTGTAAGCCAAACGCGATTTTTTAGCCTTTAGTAAACTCAAGTCATTAAGATTGAATGCATAAATTCTGTTCCATCGAGCGCAGTTTATTCAATTGGTCAAGTTGGTTAGTTACAGTTACAGTTAAGTTACAGTTAGTTACAGTTATTAGTTAAGTTAGTTGCACCTCTAACCCCTTCACCCACAGTCGCCCCCAGCATCAGCGTGGTCTCCCAGCTCGTGGGGTCGCCGCTGGGGGAGGATCTGGAGCTGCGCTGCGACGTCGAGGCGTGGCCGCCACCCATCGTCTTCTGGCGACGCACTGACCGCGACAACGTCATCCTAGACGGGTACGTCACACGTTCTAGGCGACAACGTCATCCCACACGTCCCAGCTCAATTACTGTAGCGGGTCAATTTTTAGCCGCTTTGTTAGTTTTCAGTCTCCGTTATTCTCCGACTCTCAAAGCTTGTGGGAAGCTCCGAAGCTTGACCTTCTGCCCAGATAACTCACTTATGGCCGATTAGAATCATTTTTTGATTAATATACTAATTTCTATTAATAGTCAATTTCTCAGAGTATTTAGATATTAATGAAATTTAGATATTATTACTGAAGATAAAGATGAAAAATAAAACAAATAAAAAACTTTAAAAAACCACGTTTCCTTGACGGAGAAGAAAGGAAAACATTTACTCTTATATAACATTTATAAGTTATGTAAAATGTTATGTAATGTTATGTAAGAGTAAATGTTTTTCTTTTTTGTCCGTTAAGAAAACGGGTTTTTTAAGTTTTTTTATATGTTTTATTTCACTATTTTTAGTTTTGTAAAAAACAGAAAAACGTGGTTTTTAAAAATATTTTTTATATTTATTTATTTTCTACTTTTTAGTTAGCAATTTTAGCAATTCAAATCAATTTCCAGGGTTGGCAAGTGTGGATTTTTTTTTAATTATTATTTCTGATGACCAAGTCTTGAATTGTTAGGCAGTATAAACATGCATGCCAAATTTCAACTTACTAGGATGTTTAGAAGTACTCTAAATTAAGGTTTGAATTTTTGATGACAGACACACACGAAACGAAGTCAAGAAAAACGTGGTAATATAAGAAAGCATCTTTCGTAGGACGTGTGGATCGTTAGTCTGTAGCTGGGCTCCACTTAGAACTCTTGTCATTGACCTTTTGTTAGCCTCTCACGTGTTGTAATTGTATTCCCATGACCACCCGTTCTATGACCACCCTGTAAGCGTCTCGTAATCAAACGTATAAGTAAATCCATAACGTGTCTCTTTACAAATCTCGAATGTTGTTATTCCTCAACCACGTATAGTAGCGCCCGCGGACAGAGACCCTTGATGTTTGAATGCAGCTGGTTGTCCCGCTACTTTACGTTACATTGTTCATATAATTTTAGATCTTGCTGTATTTAATTTTCGAATGCCTATATTGATTGAATTATCAATTAACATGAGTAATTAATTTTTTTCACTTTTATATAAATCATTATACTGATAAAACTCGACAGCAAATAAAATCTGTTCAACCATATTTGTAAATGCTTCTTTTCTTCGAGCGGTGCCAGCTGGCATAATCTGCAATTTTATTGAAGCCATTCTATTTTTTTTTTTTTTGTATCGGAAACTAAATATGGTGAACAAAATCAGACAATTAATTGATTCAATTATCCGAATTAAGTCCGAAGTACGGCACTCCAAAAAGACCCAAATGTAACTACGAGTACAGCGTTCCAAGGCTCCCTCAAACGTAACCAAGAGTACTGCGCTCCAAAGATACCCAAATGTAGCTATAAGTACATCGCTCCAAAGAGACTCAAATGTAGCCAAGAGTACATCACTTCAAAGATACCCAAATGTAGCCAAGAGTACATCACTTCAAAGAGACCCAAATGTAGCCATAAGTACATCGCTCCAAAGGTATATGTATTTAAGCTGAGGCTGTGTGCCGGTGTTGTGGTGCAGGATGAAGCACAGCGTGTCTGAGACGCGGTCGCCCCTGCAGCAGTACCGCACCAGCGCGACGCTCGTCATCCGGCAGCTGCAGGAGGAGGACTACGCCACCTACACCTGCGCCGCCCGCAACAGCCTCAGCACTGCCGAGGGACAGGTCTGCGTCTTAATAATAATTCCTTATGTACGATCGCGTTTTTTGTTATCAGGTAATAAAGGGCAGCGGGCTACAATATACGTGTCACCATTTGCAGAATGGGATCTTCCCTTAATGTTTTTTGAAAATTGACTGCATAATATTAAATATGAATTACTTGAATAAATCTCCGTAGATTTCAACACATTAATATCATGCAATAACTTCTGGGGCCATACTTTTAAAATTCGCTAAGTGAACGTAAGCACTTTTAAGCTCTATTTTCTTGTCTATGTTTGGTGGATTTTGCTAGAAATGCCTCCAATGATTGGCTGATGAACTTATGATCTCTTAACTTTTTTTTAAAGTATAGGCCAGGTAATTTAAAATGATCCTTTAGCCCTCATCCACAATTCACGTTGAAATTTATCGGCCAGATCCGCACGTACAAGATAGACGTGCACACACCTGCACCTGGCGCCTCTCACGGGGACACTGAGCACAGGAGAGGAGGGGGCCTGGACGATGGTGGGGGGAGCAGCGGGGGGTTAGGACGGTTGGGGCACGGCAGGATGATTGACGGCGGGGAAGGCCGGGGCAATGGACGGCAGACGTCAGACCGACTCAACAACAGACCGGGTGAGTGCGCTGTCAAAGAGGTAACACTCCTTACAAATGAAAATGAAAAAATTGTAAACTAAGTCAGGTAAGTGAACTTATTCAATCTTTTCTACCTAGAATTGACATTCAATTTATCATGAAATTTTATTTACCGCATTATTATGTATGATCAAATTCGGAGCAAACTTTGTCATCCGTTTTTCAGTGAACTATTAAGTACGGAATGACTCTCGGGCAAATTTAAATATTAAACCTCCGTTCATTCCCGTGACCAGGTTACTCGCTTCACCCCCCCCTCGAGGTTCCCCGGGTTCCCCCCCATGACCCAGCACCAGGGGGCGTTGCCCCCAACCACCGCCCCGAGTTTCACTTCTTCGACGACTCAGCCGCCAGCGCCCCTGACGCGGACGCGTGTACCGCAGCGCTGCCCTGTGTGCTTGCACTCAAATACTTCCTTCCGGGGCTCCGTACGTGGGGGAAAAAAGTTAATTTCCAGTTGATGCGCGCACACTTTTTGTGGATTGGTCTTCTTGTCAGTCAGAATTTCTTAAGTTTTCTGATGAGAATAAGTCGCATTAGCTTCCCAATGTCGCTCTGCTTCTCAGCCTGTGTTCGTGCTCAAGACTACATGCGATCTCAGCTCACTTACCTTCATATCCCAAATTCTCGTTGTGTTCGGAAGTTTCCTTACTCTCAAATAATTAAAACTTATTTGCTTTTTCCTTGTCTTCAAATCGCAAGTGTCGCCATGTCAGGAATACCAGATTTAAAAATTTTCAACAGCCTCCGGCAAATGAGAACTTTTTTACTACTTCTTTGTGTAATTATTAACACCGCTGCATCCACGATATTTGAGGGAAGCCAGGTAGTGATAAAATTATCTTTTACCATGGCAGCGGTGCCGTTCAGGAAATTATTCGAGATTGCAATCATTGGAGAAAACAGCAGTGCAAATCAAGGGCCAGAAGCTGGCGTCCAAACCTTCTTCGTTGAAGAAACATACGAAGACCTTGCCGATGACGAATACTTCAAGGTAACATCGCTGAACAACAGAAGATATTTCACACAATTTGAACTGAAAAGACATCGCGACTGCTGGACCTTGTTGAAGTATATTAAGTAATAGTAGGAATTGAATTAATCTAAGATATTCTATAAGAATAATTCGCATAGAATTGTTTTATCGTCTACGTACATCAAGAGTAGTAAACATGTGTTGGAGAGTTCATGGAACCAAAGGGATGGAAAATTGAAGGCTGCAGAGATTTGCATTCATGATATAAAGTTTGTAAATCGACGAGTTTAAAAATCAGGTAAACGAGTTTATAAATCGACGATCTCTCAACGCGTTTACCTGATCATAATTTTATTGAATTGTTCGACTGAATTGTACAATTAAGTAGGACCGCGTGTAGTCGAACATTACAAAGCAATAACAGTCCATCGTAACTTACAGCTTCAAGGTATAACCGAAATAATTTTCTTTCTCATGCCTCATGCAGAATATGGCTGATATTTATCACTATCTTACAACCTATGCTCACTTCGCTACAACATTCATTGTATTCACCACCAGCAACATTCAGTTAGGATGCTTGTCGTGGCCACATAGAAGCGGATGATATTTAATTTATTTTCTTTTAACTCCCACAATTTCTTTGGTAAAGTGAATATCTGAGCAGCAAAAATATTGAGAACGTTCATGACTTCATTCCTTGTTCGTTGTTCTAGTAATTTGAACAAAAATTGTCTTGGCAATTGACTTGGCGACCTACACAAGCTTCTTCACAACACCATGTATAGGGTGATTCACGGACGGATTTTTCCTGTTTTGTATTTCACGTCAATCAGCCACATGTTTTGAAAAAAGTGCGGAAAGCATTTCATATAAAGGCTAGGTTATGAAGTTCTGTATCCAGCCTAATCAGTTGCCACTATTCATTGGACAAGTGCAAAGCGTGCGTACGCTGTCGAGGCCATTTTGCTGAGTTGTCTCCGTGTGAGATAACATTTCGCCTTCCTTGAGAGGTAACCTTCTTTGGTCGGACCAATCCCCGATTTGGCTCTGTGTTTTTAGGTGGTTATCTTAGATCAATTGTTTACAATGACTGTCCAAGGACCCTACCCTACCTCATTTGAAGAACATACTCCAAGCCATCGCCAACATACCCGGCAATATGCTTCAGCGAGTTGAACTGAACTTCAAAAGTCGACTAACTGAATGCATTGACAATGGCGGCCGTCATTTGTCCGATGTCATCTTTAAATGTAAATGATACAAAAACTCACGTAATGTCTTTCTCAATAAAATTTATAGTGTAACGATATCTTTCTTAATTCTTCTTTTAATGAGCTTTCAAGCCAGGAAATTTACGTAAACCAAGCTGCACCTACGTGAGTCTAGCTGACTCACTTCTGATCAGTGAGTCACTCCGATCAGTATTGAAAGTATTCCTCGAGCACACACGGTGTGCTCCAGTAGTGGGTCTAAGAACCAAGGTGCATCTGGAAGACTCACTTCATGGATTCTGAGCTCAACATGACGAGTTCCATTGTATGAGTGCCGTTAGAAGCTCTTGCGTCTGCAAAAAAACTCAGGATCTTTCATTAGAAACTGTACCCAATAGATGAATACAATTGTATTGATCAAATAATTTGGAAATGGTTTTGGCTTCTAAGTATAATATGGTCAGTCGAACGCCATGGCTCATCATTATTACCTACGGCTGAGATAATTCGATAATTTATTTTAAAATCTCCTAAAATTTTTGTATCGATACTTCGTTGCATCAGGTTAAATATTTCAAAGACAATTGAGTGGAAATACAACGAGTAAGGGTGTCAAGAATAATTAATAAGCGATATCATGAATTACCTAACAGATCTTTTGGATCTTTAAATTTGTAGCTTTAAAAATCAAAGCTTGGTGCGATTAGCTTTAAGTGGTCATTATTTCCCTAGAACTCATTTGTCCAGTTAACTTACATATTGGAATGGTGATGTAGGTGATGGTTATAAGTCCGACAACAATCGAAATGAAAATCGTTGATATATTCAGCGACGCAATTTGATTGCTGAATGATGATGCATTGTATGGTAGTTGATGTTTGATAAGATTTTGCTGAACTAAACGCAGATTTACGGGTCGTTGGGTGCCGTAAAACTTCATTGATTGATTGTTGATAGTGGGAAGGATGATTGGCTACGTGATTTTTGGCAGAATTACGTTATCCTAATTATGTTGGGACTTAAGATGGTTTATTTAATTACAATAGTTTGAATAATGATTGGCATAATGATCTGAAGAGTGATGCTGGGTGCCTGCTTATTATGACCTCACAACTTTTCAGTTGGTCTCCGGTTTGCAGGGAGAACAGTTCACATTTAGGAACGCTAAGTCAATTGCGATTGGTGTAGAATAGAACAATGCAATATGCCTACGTCACGATATCAACAACAAGAGAGATGATATTGAGCGTTTGTTTGTGGCTATTTCCACACGCGATGATGAAAATCGTCACAACTTAATTGTAATTGTGAAAAATTCACAATTATAAAATAATTCGACTAACCCTTCATTAAGAAAGTTTTTTTTTACCAAACATTTATCCTCTGATTGCATCATTTAAGTTGACGACAGGTTGACAATTTTTCCAATTCTGGTGAAGCCAAATTATTTTAATAAATTTTATTCTCGATACTCAGCTAATATTCTTCGTGTAGAAAACCTAACAATGAAATTCGACTTATCATTGCTGTACATGACGCACTCGTCAATTATTTTCAATCTGATAGAATGCAACTGCTGGAAACCTCCAGCAGCTGGCATACAAGCTATAGGTTAAGAAGCATGCGTTGCTTACTGCATGTTTACATATCAATGCAGCGCCACGTGTATATATAACCAATCTATTATATCAATAATGTTCATTAGAATGGGATTCTTTGAACTGGTAGTGGAATGTCTCTGTACAGTAAAATGTTAATAAATATCGGAGAGTTTATGAGTAATTGAACTTTCTTAAGTGGCTGAAAGTTATGAATATTCTAAGGCGAATTATTTGCAGATTTAGTACCGGTTAATTTTCCCGAACGGACAAACCTTTTGGAACAATTATAGAAACCTCGAGAAGAAACTATCATGTTCTTACCTGGTGCTCTGTTTGGCAATTGTTGCTTATTTGTCGGGTGATTTTTTTCAGTGTATTTATTATAACATATGTGAATTTGAATTGCAGATAATTGAAGAAATTTTCAGCTTTTACAAGAATTTAGCGACTTTTCGTGGATATCTCTAAATTTTGTAACTAGACGATTTTCTGGAGCATTACTTCGCGATTAGAAAGGAGTCTTCTTGTATTGCAAAGGGCAGTAATGCTTTTACATATACAATGCGAAAAATCGTAATTCAACATCGCTTACCGATAAAGAAACCAATAATAAAACGTATATTATGGTGTACATAAGATACAGTACTCATTTGAGTGTTATCATAATAGGTACGGAAATACGGATTGTTATGATGTAAGATATTTAAGTTTAAGCTGTCATAAGAACCTTGCCGTGACGTCTTCTACAATAAAGCTTTGAAGTTATACGTTCTGGTGTTTCCCTTATCGAGCGCTACCCATGCACCTACGGTGCAGCGAGTCTGGTTTCATCTGCGCCGCTATCGTCTACATGGAGTATATCCTCACCCTTGCTCGTTTATAGCATATGTCCCGATTTTCTTACACCTACGATATTCCAAGTCATGCTTTCTTTGGTCTTCCAAACCATACCAGAAGTCATGCGTCTCATAGTCTTCTGAATCGTGCCTGCTTGATTTTCTGAGTCATGCCTCCATTTGGTCTTCTAAATCATTCTTTTCTTGGTCTTAGGCGTCATGCTTTCTCATGATCTTCTGAGTCGTGTCTTTGATCTTTGCCTTGGCCTTTCGAATAATGTATTCCCTTGGCTTCTGTTTAATGATATTCGGTCGTCTTTTATTGTTATCTTCAATATTGCTTGTCATTGTTATTTCCAATCTTGCGTACCTTGCTTTCGGAATGAAAACTAGACATTTTTAATTCCCGAATTGCCTGTTACCTCGGTTTTCTTTTTTTTTTTTTAGTCTCCTGTATAATTCTGGCCTGCCACTCCCTTCGAGCACCCATACCCCCCACCCCCTCCTGCGGATGCCTCGTGGATCTTAAAGGATGATCGCGAGTTTCATCTCAGCTTTTGTTTAATTTGAAGCGTCTGTTTGACTTGAGCTCTGTTTGAGGGAGGGTGCATGAGGACGGTCTAGCAACCCGTAAAAAAGTAAGCTTATACTTTGATCTTAAATTACACTGACTTTGAACTTAAATTGTACTCCTGCTTCGCTTTACTACATAAATTAATCGAAAGAATGTCGCTGTTGCATGAAATTATATAAATCACAACTCGTGCATGACGTAATGAGATGTTATTGGACGGTAACATTTCGTATTACTTAAGATGATGTGGTGAGACGATGTCGCAAGACGATGTGGTTATAATGTGCCCTCGTACAAATGGAGGTTGAGGGCACATCAAAAAACGGTGTCGAAATAAGATACAATTTTGCAATTGAATAGTTATTTAAGTTATTTTTGAGTTTAACTTCATATTGTTGACGAAATTGTACATATTTCGAAACCTTAAGAAATAGTTTTGCCAGACATAGTAACCCGGCGTAGCAGGTTCAGAAGATTGAGCTACCAAGTGTAGCAGGTTCAGAAGTTTGAGCAACCAAGTGTAGCAGGTTCAGAAGATTTAGCTACCAATTGTAGCAGGTTCAGAAGAGCTACCAAGTGTAGCAGGTATAACAGACTTTGTAACCCGGGGTAGCAGGTTCACCAGACTATGTAGTCCGGCGTATTATAGGGTAGCCCAGCCATGTGTATAGAAGATGATAATATTTCTATAAATATAATTAACATCTACAGCCACCGCCATATGTGTTTAAGATGATAATTGTAAATATAATTGACATCAACAACCACCGCCATGTGTAGAAAATGATAATTATAAATATAATTGGCATCTATAGCCATCAAGCAAGTCACAGCTGACGGCGAACGAAGCACGAGTGACGAGCGGTGCTCAAGCGTCCTGCAAACTAACCAAAATCAGCCCATGATGCCGGCGATTCGACAGCTTAGCACGGAATGCGAGCTCGCAACTGTGTTTGTTATATTATATCAATAATTTATCAATTTGAATACTTCCTTTTTGTGAAAAAAGGGACTGTTCAAGTATCAATAATCACATAGTAATATAATATGATAGCGTCTGTTTTAGACACCCTCCTCATTCAAGTAACAAGCATAACGCAGACATTAACGAAAAACTTATGGCGGGACATGAAAATTCGAGACAAAGAAAATCAGTTTATTGAAGGATTTTCGGCCATGTTTCGCTGCTGTTCGTTCGAGTCTTGAGATGAAAGAGTAAACGCGCCAATCCCGCCAAATTCGTTCAACGAAGTGCCTGATGACGGATGACGTCAGAGTCACGTCATCACGTCGCTGGTGTATGGAATAGCAATTGGGAAAAATTAATCAATTACAGTCATATAACATAGGGAAGAGTTTCTAGCGCCAGTATGACTAGAACCCCTTATTTTCAATCCATTTATCAATTCAATCCATTAAAATTGTTGCCATCAGTTAATTCAATTATTAGTACGTTATCAATTATCATTTGCTTTAATGTAACTAAATAAGGCACATCGTCTTTATTATAAGAACAGGCCGTGAAGCGGCTTAGGATCCTCACCAAACACCTTCCGACACAGAAATGCACGTACTTTCCTCCGGACTTACGGTGTATGGATTGAGGATCGGCCTGGCTTAGGATGGGTCACACCGTCGCATGGAGTGGGTGGAAGTCGACGGTCCTCAGGGCGGCTGGCGTAGTGAGCTTTAGGTCTCCATCAGTGCTCCACAGATGAGGCTACAGCAAACCGGTAGGCGGTAGGGTGGGATCCATGAAGTTTGGTTCTGTCAAATGCCCGAATGAATCCCGCGAGAGCACTGTAGTATCCAGAGAAGCTCTCGAGGTGTGACTTGCAAGTTTTGTCTTCAGTTCCCCCGTAGGCGCTCCTTTTCCTTAATAGAATTATTAGAAGTTCGGAAAGAGAACACGCACATGTCCATGTCAGGAAGGTGTTTTGTTTATCGGATGCAAATTAAATTTTACTAAAGCTAAGTTAGATTATTAAGTGAAAATTATTTTACGGCAAGTTTTTCTATGATCAAAAGTTTCCCTCAAATATAAGGATATTTGATAGACATTAAAAACTCATTCACTGTTGAAGTACAATTTATTTTCCTATATTCAGCCTCTGAGAAGCCTTGATGAACACGCAGTATAATGACCGAGTAAAGCTATGTTATACTTTGGGAACTTGTAATCGGGTAAACTAAAAACATGGCTGATTACTTTAAATATAAAACATGAATTTGTGATCAAGGTAAAGATGGCGATCTTCGTATATTTTATAGGGGATGCGCGCCAGAGGACACCACCTATGTGGTGGTGGGGGAATACCAACATGGTGGAGGGGGGTCCCTACATGGTGGTGGAAGGTACTAACATGGGGGTGGGGATGCCTTAATGGTGAGGGGGACCAACATGGTGGAGGTGGAGGGGTCCTAACATGGTGGAAATATACCATCATGGCGGGGGGGGAGGGATACCGCGGAAAGTCGGTATCCCTCCCCGTCGGAAGGCCGCGGCCGGCGCTGTCGTCCGTAGAGCAAAGCTCGTCTATATAATCTACAATTAATTTCAATTTAATGTTTTATTAATAAATAATTCCAAATGCAATAATCATGTGCAACATCTTTACAATTTTGAAAATGAAAGCTACTATATAAGCATATTTTTGGCGATGTTGCAGCGAATTTAACAATTACACTGGTGGACTTTTGAGCTGTGATGGAAAGCAGGATTCGTCTTGCCAATTTATTGAACATCGACTGAGAAGAACACGATACTTAAAAACCCATCGCCAAGCTTGTCACATGGATGGCATGTGGGTAGATCTTGAGGGTTAATTTAACTACAGTACTTCTGTTATAGTTCATCTTTATTATGCATTATGTCATTATTACCTCGCTCGCCCATTACCTGGAGGATTGTTCATAATAAAACGATAACGTGCAGCGGGAAAACCAAAAACATGACCGAATAAACCATGATTTAAATCGTCCATTACGCAAGCAAGTGCGAAATTACGTTGCCGCTCAAAAGGAATCTATCCCATTTTGGTCGACGGCTAACACACGTTGTAGATAAACAAAAACATATTTTAGAAATAGTTCGTCAGATGATATCTATTCCAAATTCCGTCAGAGTTGTTGACGGTTGTTGGTCGTCGCAAAGTAATTTCAGTTAAGACATTCAGTTTGTG